AACCAAACATGATGTTCTAATTCCAGCTTCATGATTGTATTTTTAAAGGATGAAGTGTGTAAAACGTTGTCTCTGCTGCAGGAACCAGAGGAGGAAATCTTAATCTCTATCACAGATCTGAGAATGATTGTGTTCCATCTTTCAAAAGTCCTTCAACTTGTGCTACTAGTTGCTTCTATTTTTGGTTTTCTGTCCATTTCTTTAAAAAATCTCAAGTGTTTAGAACTAAATAGTACAGAATAGGCAGTGGGTGTTGGTGAGACGTTTATACCACCCATTAATTTAACCAGGAAGAGGAAATAAGATCAGTACTGTTAGATCTGCAGCAGAGAAACGTCTCTCAGTTCTCAGCGGCTGATAGAAGGACAAGAGATGTTGGGTTTGGAGGTGATTCTGATCGTCGTTCTTCAGTTCGAAGGTAAATTTGTTTGCTTTTTAATATTTAAGTTTGGCCGTTTTTCTTTCTCTTAGACTATAAAAAATAGTGTGGATTTTTTTTCTGTAAAAATTACATTTTTTCAAACAGTTTATCACTTTTCCACTCAGGCGGAGAACACTGTTTCAGGATTTTTCAATTAAAAGGCTGTGAGCTAAAAATATAAATACATTTTGAAATATTTTGACTGGTTTACTGAAAACATAGATACAGTATCCATTTTGCATTCATCACTCCTTTCATTCTACTACTTCTCGTTTATGGCGTGCTCTTAGTGATATTTATAAATCTGCACACAACACTGCAGCAGTTTAATCCTCAGGAGATAAATTCACGATTGATATCTTCTGGTTTCTCTTATTCAATCTTCATTCCGCTTTTCTGATAAAAAACAATATAATTTTCCTTGTTCTTCCAAGTTTCTTTGCTTTTCTCACCTTTAACTCTGTCAGGCTCCCTGAAGTCCTTCAGCACTTTGAGTTCCCTCAGTAATTGCAGGATCCTCATCATCCTCATCCTCACTGTAGTGCCAGTGACTGTGAGACCGTTTAGTTGATCTGGCTATTATAAATTCAGTCGATTAAATTCAGTATAAATGTTGGTTTAAAACGAGCAACTAGCAACTAGTTCCTTCTATTTGTGGGTTTCTTCCAGTTTCTAAGAAACAATCAAGTGTTGTAAAAACAAATAACAGAAGAGTTGGTGTGAAGAAGTTTCCCATTACTTAATTCAGCCTAAAAGAGGAAATTAGTTCTTTATTTTTAGATCTGCAGCAGAGAAACGTCTGTCAGTTCTCAGCGGCTGATAGAAAGACAGGAGATGTTGGGTCTGGTACTGATTCTGATCATTGTTAAGACCTTTTTTCCTTTCAAATGAAGCTGAAAAAAATTAAAGGACACTTTGGTTTGCAAAGATA